CGGGAGCAGGAGGAGGAGAGGGTGCGAGGAAAAGAGGGGGAGGGGGTACCGGGAGACCTCGACAGGGGTACCGGGTGTAGTAAGACACAGACTCGTCAAAGCGGACGTCACGAGAGTCTAGGAACTGGTGGAGGGGCGGGTGGTAAAAGGACCAGTCGGCAGAGTCCACTGGGAAACCAAGGAAGACACAGGGGACGGCGCGTGCCGAGAGCTTGTCCGCGGAGGTGTCGCGAACAAGCGCAAGGCAGCCCCAGACACGAAAGGCCGACCCAACACCAGGGGAACCGGTCCAAAGACTGGTCGGTGAAGCCTCAGGCTGTGAGACGCGCGGCTGGAGGTTCAGCTGGTGTGCGGCGTAGCGAACCGCGTAGGGCCACAGAAAATGGGGCGCACGGGCATGGATCGTGGACGTGCGAGCAATGTCCATGACCAAGCCAATGCGGCGCTCAGCAACCCCATTCTGCTGTGGGGACTCCGGAAGCGTCCAGGACTGTACGATGCCCTGTTCGCTGCATAATCCGCCAAGAATGCCGGAGCGAAACTCGCCCCCACGGTCGGAGTGTAGACAACTGACACGACGACCACGAGTGCCCTCAGTAGCCAGAAGCCACCGGATCAGCGTAGCAGTCACCTCGGACTTCTTCGCGAGAGGGAACACTGTGGTGTACCTGGAGAAGTCGTCGACGACCACCAGAAAGTAACGCTCCCTCCCAGAACCCTGCGTCGGGGCAGGGCCCCAGACGTCCAAGTGGAGGGTCTCGAAGGGAGCAGTGGCCGGACGAAGGGAGGAGGAGTGGGGAGTGGCGCGTAAGCGACCGGCGACGCAAGGAGTGCAAGGGGGAGCAGGGGAGGTGGGGAGCGACGGAAAGGTGCGTGGGAGACCGGTGACAAGCCCGTGAGTGGTCATCCCGCGGAGGCGGGGGATCGACGGGTGGCCAAGGCGGTGGTGCCACAAGACGGTCCGGTGGGTGAGGGACCGACAGGAGCAGGACGCAGCGACTGGACTAGACAGCGCGACCTGACTAGACCGTGCAACTGGACCAGACACGACTACCTGGCTAGACACAGCAACCGGACTGGACACCTGGACTGGAGGGGACGCAACGACCTGAGCGGAGGACGCAACCTGGGAGCGCGCAGTGTGGAGAACGTAGAGACCGGAGCGGGGCTCCCTGGTGAACGTGGCCAGAACAGCACCTGTGGCAGCGTCTGTACAGACCGCAGACCTCCCCCCCCCCCCAACAAAGGTAACCGTGATCCCCCTGTCCTGGAGGTAACCAACACCCACCAAGTTCCGAGTGAACGAGGGGATGTGGAGGCCGTGCAGGACACCAGAGGGGACCACAGGACATGGGAGGGTAGTGGAGCTACGCGCAACGGCTGGTCCTGAGGTAGGATCGGCGAGAGCCACCGAAACAGGAGTGAAGAGTGGCGTGAGGGTCGTGTGGTCGCGGAAGAAGCACTGAGACGCACCAGAGTCCAGCATGAAGGACAGGGACGCCTCAGCGGGAGGGTCACCTGCCCTAGTGGCTACACAAGCACCTAGAGCAGCAACACAAGCACCTAGACTAGATGTCAGAATGTTATAATTGTCTAGTCTGCAGTGGGGTACTCTATAGTGAGTACAACCCAAATTAGGGTTTGCTATATGTACTGCCCTGCTTACTAGTGAAGCCCCTCCTTTTCTGTTATATCGTTCTACTGCTAATTTTGACATGCTATCAGAGCAGGTCGACCCCCCCGGGTCGATCCTGTGGATGGGCCCACCGTTTGCTTCCGCTGCCACTACTGTACTGTCTGTCGTGCGCCCCGTGGCGCGCGACGATTGTTTTTTTTCTTCCCGCCACGCGCTCGGGGCGTGTGGCGGTTTTCTGCCCGCCGCGCGCTCGGGGCGCGTGGCGGTTTTCCGCTCCGTCGCGGCGCCCCGGGGGCCCGCGCGCCACCCCCTCCTGTCGCCCGTCGTGGCGCCCTCGGGGGCCCACGCTTTACCCCCTCCCGTCGCCCCGTTGCGGCGCCCTGGGGGCCCGCGCGCGGCCCCCCTCCCGTCGACCGTCGTGGCGCCTCGGGGGCCCGCGCGCCTTCCCCTCCCGTCGCCCCGTCGCGGCGCCCTGGGGGCCCGCGCGTGGCCCCCTCCCGTCGCCCGTCGTGGCGCCTCGGGGGCCCGCGCGCCTTCCCCTCCCGTCGCCCCGTCGCGGCGCCCTGGGGGCCCGCGCGCGGCCCCCTCCCGTCGCCCGTCGCGGCGCCCTGGGGGCCCTCGCGCGGCCCCCTCTCGTCGCCCGTCGTGGCGCCCCGGGGGCCCGCGCGTCCGCCCCTCCCGTCGCCCGTCGTGGCGCCCCGGGGGATCCGCGCGCCGCCCTTCCTCGCCGCCGCCTGCCCTCCCCCCCCCCCCCCCCCCCCCCCCCCCCCTCCTCCTCCTTCGACTTCGTGCTGGCGTGCAGCCGTGTGGAGGGTCTGGGGGTGGCAGGGGTTAGGGCGGGTATGGGGGTGGCGGGTGTGTGCGCCGTCCGCTCCTCCTCCTCCTCCGTCTCCCACTACTGCAGCTGCCGCTGAGGGGGGTGGATGTGTGGGAGCCGAGGGCGTGGCGCTAGGGGGGTGCCGTGGGAGTGGAGCTAGGGGTACAGCAAGGGGTGTGTGAAAGGGGGGTGGGACAGTTGGGGGAGGTTGAGCGGAGGTTGAGCCGTCGTGTCGCCAGCAGCGCCAGTAGTCCGGAGGCTACAATCTCCGGTAGTCGCCAGTCGCCCGTGGGTCAGTTGCTCCAGCCGCTCGGCGTAGCCGCGGAGCCAGTTACTCCTGTAGTCCGGGCCTTTGCTTTGGTAGCCACTGAGCCAGCCGCTATCGTGTGTCTGCAGCTTCCGTCATCGCCTCCCATCTCCTCTCCTCTCACATTCCCTCCTCCTCCTCACTTGCCCTCTGTGAATGCCTCTAGCTTTGCTTGTACTTGTGAACCTGCTCTATGACTGCTTGCTGTGCTGATTATACCCCACTTTGACTATGGGGGTGTGTCAGAATGTTATAATTGTCTAGTCTGCAGTGGGGTACTCTATAGTGAGTACAACCCAAATTAGGGTTTGCTATATGTACTGCCCTGCTTACAAGTGAAGCCCCTCCTTTTCTGTCTACACTAGCAGGAGGCAAGCAAGCTAGTCTACGAACACGCGAACACACAGATCCATCAGCACTATAGTCAACATCAGCATACAAAGCATGCTGACGAGCATCGTCCATGGACAGATCAAACACATCAATCTTACGGGCTAACAGGCGAGCCCAGCGAGGCGTGGTCGCCGTAGGGCCCCAACGAGCACGGTAGAGGTCGTCGAGGCGGCGGAAGCACCGCGCGGCAGAGTGGTCGTCACGACCGCAGAGACAGGGGCTGCCAGGTCCGGTGAGGCACCAGTGGGTGCAGGGGCCAGTGTCACGGCGAGGGGGGCGAGGGGCCCAGCTGGAAGTGCTGCCGCTGCGGCTGGTGCTCCCTGGTCCTCCCGGACCCCACTGCGGCGGGGGACCCCAGTGCTGCTGCGGACCCCACTGCAGTGGGGGCCCCCACTGCTGGAACTGCTGCGGTGCCTGCTGCTGCTGCGGTCCTTGCTGCTGCTGCTGTCCCTGCTGTGACTGGTGCTGCTGTGGCTGCTGCTGCTGGGGGCCAACACCCCCGCCGGCCGGGCCACCACCAGTGGGTGGGCCTGTCTGTCCTGCACCTCCGCCAAGGCCCCCTCCTCCTGGTGCACCGCCGCCGCCGCCGCCGCCGCCTCCACCACCGCCGCCGCCGCTCCCACCTCCACCTCCACCTCCCCGCCTCCACCGCCTCCACCTCCCCCCTTCCCGCCCTTCTTGCCACCCTTGCCCCGTTTCTGCCTGTCTGCGGCGGAAACGGCAGCAGTGTCCTCAGAAACCGACACAGCAGCAGAAGCGCGGGTAGCAGTGAAAGTGGGAAGCTGAGGGGCGGCACACCCCGCAAAGAGACGGGGGGCTACTGCGTTAGTGGCGGAGGCAACGGTGAGGAGACTACTTTCGATCGTCCCGAGAGCGGTCTCAAGGAGATCGATGGTGAGCTCAGTGGGGTGCTTCTGGAGAAGCGAGTCGCGAGCAGTGGCAAGGCGGTCAGGGAGGCGGGTGACTAACCAGTGCACAGTGAGCCACATGGGGGGGGGAGCAGCAAGAAGCTGGGCGTCGGTACAGGCCGCACGGAAACCGGCGTCAAGTGAGCGGAGGTGAGTCACTAGGTCGGACACAGTCGCAAACAAGCCTAGGTCGGGAAACACGAACGGCATGAGGAGGCGACTGAGGGAGGCAGAGGAAGGGGTGGAATAGCGGGCAACAATAGCATCCCAAACCCCCTGTGCTGTCTCCACCTTGTCAAAGTGGGCGGCCTCAGTCGGGGGGAGAAGCTCCGACAGCGTGAGAGCGGCGGCAGCGTCACGAGAGAGCCATACGTCCCGTGCCAGGACCTGACGCTCGTAGTCCGCCTGGGCCGTAGGAGTCGGCTCCGAGGCGGTCGGCAGGGCGGCGGGGGACGGGGGGGCCTTGAGGGCACCAGACGCGTGGGCCCACAGAGTGGCGCCGTCCTGACGCTGGCTGGTAAGGAAACGCGTGATCTGGCGCTGCCAGGTACCGAACTCTATCGGGCGTCCCTCCGCATCGAAACGAAGGCGACGGGACTCCATAACGGAGGCCATGCTAGAGGCGGCCGGAGCTCGGCGGAGGCGGAGCTAAGAACGAGGAGGGAAGCCTAGGAGCGCCAGGTGTGGCGCGGTGTGAGACCGGCGGAGCTAGAGGCTAGGAGCACGGAGGGACCTAGTCTAGGCGTGAAACGGCGGAACTCCAGCTACATGCACTAGGGGCGAGGAACTAGCAGGAACACGGGTCTACCCTAGGTGGCCGGCGAAAGAAAGCGGCTGCCAGCCGCTGAGGGCGAGACCAGTGGCAAAAGAGTTGTCTAGGGCCCCGTGCGCAGGGCGGTAGTGGGGTTCGGGCGCGTGCCGATCGCGGGTCGGAACGGGCTAACGCGGAGGCGTGAGCCTAGGTGAGGGCGAGGGCACGGTAGGCTCGGGGGGAGGGCGCACGACGTTAGGAGAGGGCGGGGAGGAGGGTGCGTGACGGTAGGAAGGGGTGGGGAGGAGGGCGCGACGGTGAGAAGGGGCGGGGAGGAGGGCGCGACGGTAGGACAGGGGCGGGGATGGGAGGGCGACGCGACGGGCAGGGGAAAGGGAGGCGACGCGACGGGCAGGGGAAGGGGAGGCGAACGCGACGGGCAGGAGGAGGGGAGGCAACGCGACGGGCAGGGGAAGGGGAGGCGAATGCGACGGGCAGGAGGAGGGGAGGCGACGCGACGGGCAGGGGGAAGGGAGGCGACGCGACAGGCAGGGGAAGGGGAGGCGAACGCGACGGGCAGGAGGAGGGGAGGCGACGCGACGGGCAGGGGGAAGGGAGGCGACGCGACGGGCAGGGGAAGGGGAGGCGACGCGACGGGCAGGGGGAGAGGAGGCGACGCGACGGGCAGGGGAAGGGGAGGGGGGGGCGACGCGACGGGCAGGGGGAGGGCGCGACAGTGGGAGGGGCCGGGCTAGGCGTGCGTTGAGGGCGCGGAGGGCGCGGAGGGCACTAACGTGCGGAGGGCGCGGAGGGCACGAACGTGCGGAGGGCGCGGAGGGCACGGAGGGCACGAACGTGCGGAGGGTGCGGAGGGCACGGAGGGCACGGAGGGCGCTAAGGCGCGGAGGGCGCTAAGACGCGGAGGGCGCGTGGGCGCGGAGGGCGCTAGGGCTAGGCTAGGGCTAGGCTAGGGCTAAGGAACTCGAACCTACTATGATACCATCTCAAGAGTAGAATGCAACGGAATGGTGAGTTTAGGAAACAAGGCAATACAAATAGGCAACCCTAACTGTGTTATACTATCTAAGGAGCAACTCACTACAGCCTATCACAAATATCAACATTTGACAGGTAATTACAATGCCTCTTTTGTCAAATTACAATTGTATCTCTAGACTACAGTAGGGTCACTCATTAGTGAGTAAAACACTTTAGGGTTAGGTTTCCCCTACTTGTACTCATCTCCTGCCTAGTTCAATCATTCATTCCTAGTTCTGTTCTTGACATGTTATCAGAGTAGGAACCGTTCCTACGTGGGCCCACCGTTCCGCCTAGTGGTAGCGCCACGCCCTACACAGTAGCCAGCGCGCTGGCGCCCCCGCTCTCACTGTCGCGACCCTTCCTAAACGGCCCGCGGGGCCCTACGTTTTTTCTCTCACAGTCGCGACCCCTCCTGACCGCGCCCTAGCTGCCCCGTGCGCAGGCCCTCAGATTCACTTTTAGGCACGTAAGTGCATCAGGGTCCCTCGGCGTAGCAACCCTGATCGACATTGTCTAAAAAAAAAAAGCCTGAAAGTTCAGTGTTACTGGAAAAAAAAGTATGATGCATCAGTATTCATTTTTTCCAAAGGCTGTTGTTATTATTAGAGAGGTCAAATATTCATTAACACTAGCAAGCAAGCAAGCAGCCTTCTATCTAAAGCTAATATGCTAGATAGCTAGCATCTGCAAGAGAGGGTTTCTTAACCGTCGTCCTCACTGTCACTCCCCTTAGCCTCTGCTTCTTCCCACTCCTCATCTGCCTCCTTTCCCTTGCCACTGCCCTCCCCCTCTCCTGCTGGTGGTGCTGCCACATTGCCAAATGGGCGGCGCTTCTTGTAGCTGCGCCATATCTGCACCACTTCATCATAGTCTGGCTCGTACTCCAGTAGAGACAGCGTGATGAGGTCTTCAAGGCGGGCGTCTTTGAGACTGCCCGGCTGCCACGATTTGATCAGGTTCTGGCGCGAAAACTCGCGCTCACACTCCACTGTGCTCAGCGGCAGCACGGCGACAGCCACCCAGAGGCGCACCAGGTTGGGGTAGCTCGTTGTCCAGTCACTTGTTTTCAGCATCGCTGTAAGCCCGGCGTGGAAGCTGCGCTCGTTCTTCGGGGCACCTGCGAGGATGGGGCAGAAGGTACGCAGTTCCTTGATCGCCTGCCGCTTGTCGATCCCTGCCAGATAGACAGGAGGGAGAGAGAGAGAGAGATGGGATTAGACGGAATGGCACAACCGTGCACAATACACCCGCAACGTGCAAAGAACAAACCGCATGTCAATTCAAAGGATTACCTGGAAGGATGTAGTCCGTCTCCTGTGCCCTGAACAGCGACACGAGTGACATGAGCCACTCGAGACATTGTTTGTGGCGCTCCGCCCTCCCAAGCTCCCACTCGTCTGGCATGAAGAGCCTGACTCCCACAAGGGAGTCCAGGTCTTTGAACCTGTTGGTGAGGTTTCGCACGAGCGTTTCGGCGAACGTGGTGCAGAGATCCACGCACGCGTCATGACTTCCAAGTGTTGGGTAATCTTCGCATGGGTCCTCGTGCAGCTGGAAGGTGTGTGTAGTCGGCCGACCGTCCGAGTCCACTCCCTGCACCTTCACCTCGGGGGAGCCACCCTCAGGCCCGTGCTTCTTGATGAACGGTGACAGGCGTGCGCTCATCCCGCCTCCGAAATCGTCACCGCATTCGACATAGCGGGACTCGAGGTAAGACAGCGATCTTCGGATTTGCGCGTGTACACCTGCAATGTCAAGCTAATAGGGGCGGACAGAAACGAAACACAAAGAGACAGAACAACAGATAGAATGTACACAAAGTCTGTGCGCGGCAGCATGTTTCCGCGGTCACTAGTAATCCATTAACACATTAACACAGGTGCATCAGAAGCTCTCGCATGCAAGTAACCCTGCTCACCTCTCGCTGCTGGAATGCCCTGTTCAGGACATTCAGCTGCTCGAGCACGTCGGCAAGGAAATATAACAGGAAGTGAAACCTGTAGCTGGTGGCGAGCTCGTACAGACTGCTGTCCCACTCGTACAGCATGACGATGAGCGCGGGGAAGACCTCTACCGCGCGTAGAATGGCGTCACCCCTGGAGAGCCACCAGACTTGGTGAATCCCTTGGAGCTCCAGGTTCGTGGCGGTGAAAACCTCCTGAAGCGCAACAAACCGCTAATGCCACGGGCCAGAACGCCCCAAATGCTCAGCCACTTGGCGGACCAGCGAGTCAACCAACTCGAACTCGGGGAGTGCTTCAGCTGCGTCCTTTGCTGCGAGCGCCTCCCTGAGTTCACAACAAGACACCAACAGGCACCACAATGCATGAGCAAGGGTTGCTACAGTTACTCCAGAGAAGCGCAAACTAAACAGAGAACATACCTGTGGGCGACGCAGTGGCTTGAGACGAGATGCGGTATGCGGAGGCGGAGTCGAGCGACAAGGCCAACTTTTTTTCCCATCATCACACTCGCGCCGTCAGTGCTTATGCCGGTGATCCTGGCAAAATCGATGCCGAGGGCCTGCAGGTGGGACACTAACACTGACAGGAGTGACGCGGCATCGCCCTTATCCACAGTCAGCAGTGCAAGGAAATCAGTGACTACACGGTTGTCACGGATGAACGGGGCAAAAAGAATCATGTGTTTTCCCCGACACCTGTCCGTGCTCTCGTCACATGTGACGCCGAGGTACGGGCTTGAAAGGATGTGCTGCAGTTGCGTTGTGTACAACCACGTGGCCATCGATTGTGTCAGCTGCCCGAAGCCGTATCTGTGGCGCATAAGAAACGATACAATGTTAGAGATACGGTGTCTCGACTCCCGAAACACAATCACAGCTTACATGTTTGGTAAACGATTACTTACGTAGTGTAATAGGTTCCATAACCTTTCGCGGGGAACCCAGGCACCTTCAGCCCCGCGAGGTAGCGAACCAGATTCACCTATAGCTCTATGGGTGTATCTTGCTTGGTGACAAAGAGGAGGGAGTTGAGCAGCTTGATGACTCGTTCCTTCTCGGTGTCGCGAGCAAGGTTGTCGGCGTTGATCCGGGGCTGCTTGGACGCATCCGATAGCAGTTTTTCCTGGCTCTTGATCGCCTCCTTGTGTTTGGTTGTTGATGCATGCCTTTTGAACGCCTGCGTCTGCACGTCTGTGGCGCCCTTGCCGCCTCTCCCGCACGGACCAGAGTAGCCTGCGTGCTCAGTACAGTTACTGAACTTGAAAGCAGGGAAACCGTCAGACGTTTTTAGCAAGATGAGCCAATCAAACCTCTCTAGCCACTCGCATTTGTACTTATAAAGAGCCTCGGAGCAACTCTCATCAGGGCCTGCCAGTTTAGAAGGCCCGGGAACAGATGGCGACAACGGCGCCGTGCCTGCGACCACGGGCGACGACCGTTGGTCGGCTGGTGAAGGCGGAGACGCTCCATCGTTACCTCCCTTTGTGAACCGTAGAAGCGTAGACTGCGTGTATCTGCCGTTCTTCTTAGCCATGGGTACTGCCGGCGTTTTTTCAACAGAGGGCGACAAGCTGTCTTGCTCAATCACTGGAGCTGTAGGGGATGCACACAGTCCCTCATCGTCAATGGGTTCGAACGGAATGAAATCGGGCGGCGCGACTGCAGGAGCCTTTACAAGGTTTTCGACTTGCGCTAGGCTAGAGAAAAGCAGATCCAGCCCGATAACAGCTGCAGAAACATCAACAGGCGGACGACGATGCGCATCATCGCCTTCCTCGCCAATAATTTCCATGCCGTTAAGGGGGTCCGGCATAGCCGGCAGTGCTCCTAAACAGCCTCTAACGAAAGTTACGAGGCAAACTAGCAAGAGGATTGCCGGGCATAACTTTCGACAAGGCTGACTGCCTCTTGGTACACAAGGCAGGAAAGCGAGGAAACCCCATGCGGATGGAAAGGATGGAGCAGAATGGGAGCCTGGATGGCAGGTAGCACAGCTGGGCGGCGTGGATGCAACCCATCACGAGAGCTTCACTGCTCGCCATGCCAGCACCACATAGACAAAACGCGCCACAGGTGCAAGCAATGGTCCTGTACTCTCGCAGCGCAGCCTGCCAGCATCGCTGTGTTGCAGCATTCCCATCCCATTGGTCTACACATTTGATGCTGCAAAACTGGCCAATCAAATGACCAGACGCGCCACCAAAGCAGCTCTCAAATTGAAAAACACGGGGCAAATTTGTCTGGTAGTCCCCGCCAGGCGGTGCTGACACCGCGGGAATCTGAGATTCCCTGTACTTCTGGTCAAATCCACTCGCCACGGTTAGGAATCGCATTCAGTGTCAATTTCGTTACAACGTAGTGGAATCAGTGTCGCTAAAATAAAAAGCCTGTAAGTTCAGAGTCATCTATGAAAGTAAGGCTGAAATATCAGTCTCAAAAAAATCTGAACACTGAAAGATCAGTGTAGGTACTCAAAACCACCCTGAAAATCAGGAATTTCAGGGTAAAATTCCTGATATCATAGGGCATGCCCGTGCGCCACTCGCGCTGCCCGTCAGCCCCTGCGCCCGGTCCCCCCTCGCTCCTGCTGCTGCGCGCGCCACTCGCGCTGCCCGCCAGCCCCTAGCGCGCACCTGCTGCGCGCCCCCTTTTGAGCTGCCCCGCGCGCACCTGTTGCGCGCCCCTGGCTTGCAAGCCCACAGCCCGCGCGCGCCTACTGCTGCTGCGCACCGGCTGCTGCTGCTACGTGCGGCTGCTGCTCCGCCACTGAGCCCGAGCCGCGCCGCCCATTTCGAGCCGCGCCGCCCTGCCGAGCCGCGCCGCCCAGTCCGAGCCGCGCCGCCCTGTCCGAGCCGCGCCGCCCAGCCCGAGCTGTCACTGCTGCTGCTGCTACAACTACTGCTGCTACAGCTAGTGCTACTGGTGCTGCTGCTACTACTGCACTTGCTACAGCTGCTACTGCTGCAACTGCTACTGCTGCTATGGCTAACCTGTCGGTTCTTACGTTCGATGCTGAGGGCCGCGCGATTACCTTTGATGTCTGGCTCGACGATCTCCAGCTGTTCCTGCAGAGCGAGTCTAAGGATGGTATTTCCCTGTTTTTGCACACTGAGGGAAAGCTCCCAGCCCCTGCTGCCGACGCTGTAGAGGATCTGTCTAAGTGGCTCATGCGTGATGCAGCTGCCCGCCTTGCTGTCCGCAACCACTTGCCCGTCACTGAGCGCGCGCACTTTAGCCGGCAGAAAACGGCCAAGGATCTCTATGACGCTGACGTTGCTCGCTACTCCTCCCCAGCTACTGTTGTTGTAGGCCGTCTCATGCTGCCGTACCTGCATCCCGATCTAGCTGAGTTCCGCACTGTCTCTGACCTCTTTACCTACCTCCGCTCTAGTGAGGATCGCTTCCGTGCCGCTCTCAAGCCGGCCTGCCGCTAAGAAGCGACCACAGCAAGGGCAGAGGGGGCAGGGGTGGTGGTGGTGGCAGCAGCGGAGGGGGTGGCGGGGGTGGTGGCGGGGGTGGCGGAGGCTCTAGGGGTGGCTCTGGGGGTGGCGGCAGTGGAGGCGGACAAGGTGGAGGAGGCGACGGTGGTGGGGGAGGCGGTTGGGGTAGCGGGGGCGGCGGAGGAGGTCGGGGTGGGTCTGGCAGGGGTGGTGGCGCTCGTGGACCCTCCCGTGGCTATGGGAGTGGTCAGCAGCTGCCGCGCCTCCCGGACAACCCCACCGACCAGCAGCTCCGTGAGTGGGTTATCCAGCGTGGGGGCTCTGGGGGCTCTGGTCGCTGCCCGTATGTCAGGCGCACGGGGCCTCTGAAGGGAACGGTCTGCGGGAAGCCGCACACTGAGTACAAGTGCTTCGGCCGTCTTGAGGATGCCTGGGTGGCTGAGTACACCGAGGACCAGCACATGCCGAACTGGCTGCAGCTGATGGGGAAGGGGGTAGATGTGTTTGCTCTTGACTTTGCTAAGATCAATGCTGCTATATATGCCATGTATGTTGCTGATAATAGTGCTGAGGATGCGTGTTACTCGTGTGTACCATGCGATGCTGATGTTGTCGCTGCTACCCCAGGTGCCAGTGAGTCTGCTGCAGCTCTAGGTGCCAGTGTCGCTGCTGCCCCAGGTGCTAGTGAGTCTGCTGCCGCTCTAGGTGCCAGTGTCGCTGCTGCCCCAGGTGCTAGTGAGTCAGCTGCTACTGCAGAGGTCTTGCACACTCTCACGCTTGACTCTGGTGCGTCCCGTTGCTTCTTTCGCGACTGCACCACTGTCACCCCACTCGCTATACCAGTTCCAGTCTCACTGGCGGACCCCTCTGGGGGCCCGGTGGTTGCACGCCACTCCACTGTCCTCCCGTGCCCAGCTGTCCCCTCTGGCTCTCTGTCAGGTCTCCACCTCTCCTCGTTCTCGACGAACCGGGTGAGCAGCGCCATCCTTCAGGATGTATGGGTTGACACCTTTACTCCTGGAGGTCAGCGTGTGGCGATCTGCACATGCGCCAAGACAGGCCGTCCCCTGGCTACGTTCACACGACAGTCGGGGTCGAACCTGTACACACTCACCACAGCGTCTGCACAGGTAGCTGCGTCTGGTCAGGTGGCTGCGTCTGGTCAGCTCGCTGCGTCCTGCTCGTGTCGCCTCCTCACCCACCCTGCTCAGCTTTGGCACCACCATCTTGGCCAATCTTCGCAGCTGCGTCTGCGCGGCATG